TACATGTGTAAATGCCATTTTCACAATTTACCTTTAGCACATGGTGTAGCTTACAATGTTGGACTATCTGAAATCTTGTCCATAACCTTGTGTCTTCCATGGTCATGCAAAATTCTTTCAAACATCACGTACTGTGGGCTGGTTTCACTTGAAACCATAGTGCGGAATAAAACGTGTGAACATTGTTTTTAGTTGCTGTACAGGCAAGTGATACTGCATTGACAATCAGTAAAATTGATAGTCAATACTACCGGTAGACCAATGCTATTGTAATGCTATGAATTCAATTGTCGAACTTCCTCATGTATGTAAATAGGTCTCTAGGTGGTAGTTGAGCGCGGTAACTGAGCGTCTCAGTTTTCACGAAGATACAAATTGAGCGTACGCTCACTTTTAAAAGTAAGCGTGAACCCAGTCTTTACCAGATGCGTCCATCTTACAAGGTCATGGGGTTCAAACTGCGTGAATATTTAAGTAAATATGGTTGCGTCATTTTTAACAAACGTCCTGCTCATTTGAATCCAGATTGGATTCTTTAACATAAGTTAGACCTCTGAAACGAACTTGTATCAACTTCATGTTAAACTGAGCGTAGCTTTCATTACATCACCGGCATTCCATGATTTGTTCCCACGCTTACTTTTAAAAGTGAGCGCACTCAAGCTTTCCATTGTTTGGCTCTACGCTTTTGAAAGTGAGCGTACGCTCAACTCGTATCTTCATGAAAACTGAGTCGTTCAGTTACCGCGCTCAACTACCACCTAGAGACTCATTTACATACCTCACTTCCTGAGGACCTCAGACAGGGTGCAGTTTCTAAGCCCCTTATATTTACCATTACGAAAGGGTCACCCATGTCGTATAAGAGTTAACTTTTTGCTGAATTAGTTAATGTCTTCAGTTAATGGTAATATGGGGTGTAAATTTTTTTTTTTTCTGAAATCTCACTTGCCACAATTTCTGTTTTTCTGGTATTCCGTTTTTGAATGAGACAACACAATAATACAAATGCCGTATTAGCATAAGGTGATATCTATCTAAACTCTTTTTGGTACTTGAAATGTGCCCATCAAGTGCTTCATGCAAAATATGACTTATTTCGACCATAAACACAACTCTGTCATTTACAAATTATGTGCTACTTGATAGAGCAAATACAGTATTCTAGACTGGTTTACTAAAATATGACTTATTTTGTCGTATATGTAAGTGTATGCGTTACGGATAAAAAAAGGTATCTTGGGACTAATTAGCTGCCTGGTCCCGCTCACCCTTCACACATTACACATAACCACCTACAATTGTTCTAAATACTATTTATGACCTTGAACCATTTATACTCTCTATAATTGGCTGGCTTAGTTGAGATCTTTGGGGGGAAACCCTGCATAGTTGAAGTCTGAAGAGGACATTCCTTAGAGACAACTGATTCATTTCCTGATTATGTAGCAATTAAAACAGTCAGACTAATATCTGTAAAGGCACTTTAGTTGCAAAGTGGCTACAAGCTTTGACACTGTATTTTGCTTATTCCATTTTTCTGTTTTTCCCTCCTAGATAACTGTAAAGTGCAAAGATGTGACAGCAATAACCAAAGAAAGGACTGCCAGAGTTATTCCCAATGCAATACAGTTGTGTACGCATACAGAGAAGGTAGGGGAATTGAGTCGAAACTTGACAGCACTTGTGTTGTATTTCATACTAGTGTGTCAATTCAGGCAATATGAATATACTAGTAATTATTTGATGAAATTTGCCACTGATCACATTTACGATTGATGGTGAATTTACGACCTTGCATTTTTATACCAGACATTTTTTGCATACTTTATATATATATATATATACATCTATAAAATGGTCATAAACAAACAAAATACAATACAATTGCTCTACAATTAATTATTCAATACAAATTTATGTCTTATTAATTATAAATGATTAATGAGGCAGGCAATTCTTTCCATTGTGCATGTATTCATTTTCCCCAGCTATCAATAATTTCTTCCTTTTTCTGTTTTCCCTGCAGTATTTTTTTACTTCGTTTGCTTCTCGAGATAAAACCTTTATGATTTTGTTCCGGTTATGGCAAAATGCACTTCTTGATCAGGTGAGTGTTTTATCTTTCAATGTCAGGGTTTTTTGAAGAAAAAAATTTTCAGAGGGAGTGAAGCAGTTTGGAAAATGCCAAATTGTAATGTTTTTGCGCCATCTAACAGTATATTTATCGTGATTGAAATATTTTTGGAGTACTTATCATACTTGTTGACAAGACACAACTTTCAAGTATGGGAGGTTTTTTTTTTTTTGTTTTGAGAAACTTTTTATGTTGTATGGCAGCATGAATGTGTGCGGCCCAAGTGTGACTTCAAGTTTAATTGGCATTATACCGGTAGTAAGAGGACGCAAGCAGGGTTATGAACTCTGGAAGAATCCCTGAATGTCACTGTACCTGGGGAAGGCTTCCCCCTTGACATTGCTGATTACACCATCATTTTCTTATCATAAGATAAATGCATATTTTTTTCTCCTGGCATTATATTTGAATTGTTATTTTCCAAAATGTTTTCACAAATATCTGTTTATTCTGCCACTTATTATAAAATGTCTGTCTACTTACCAGTATTGAATTATGCTTAAATATTAAAATGCAATCAAATGACAGCTATTTTATCTGTTTCACCTTGGGTTTTAAGATAATATTTTCTTTCCATTCATTATCATCGCAAATGTGTTTTTTTCCCCTAAAATGTAACTTTGATACTCAAACTGATGTGGACTACTGTTGAAGCGCATGAATATTAAAATTAAAGTGCAGTCTGATAACAAATTAACTGCTAGGTTCACTTCACAACACTAAATAAGCATACATTGTTATGCTAATTATATGAATTGTCAGGATGATTGATCTTGGTGCACTTTATCATGAAACTGGAAATTTCTAACTTGTAGAGACCTATATATACTATTCTAATGAAATCAGAAACTGTATTCAACTCTGTGTTGCTACCAGGCTTTTAGTCGGCCACCTGTCTACCTGTCACTTTAGACAAGCAGTCCACATGTTAAACCTGTTCAATTTTGATTGAAAATCACCCAATATTACAAAAATAATCAACAAAAAATTGATTGTAAGCCTGTTGTTACAGACTACATTTTTTAATCAATGTACTTTCCATTTTATGGCTATAACTGTGATTGCGACTATTCAAAAATAAAGTTTTTGTGTCAAATTTGCTGTTGTGCCATACCAATTGTTTTTTGTGACTCTGTGTTATTGTATATTATTTTGTCAGGCAATGTCACCTCAGGATTTCTGGACATGGGTTCGTATGAACTATGGAGATGAAGTAGGTATGGATTCAGAAGAGGTCATTGAACCATACAATGCAGGTAATAATGATGATAAAATTACTTTATTGCATTCAATAGTTGGGTTTCAAAATCCACAGGTGTGTGTTACTCAGCTGCTACATTACTACTGCTTGTGACAGAAGGTTAGGAGGTGTTGATTTCTTAAGCTCTCATTCATGTGCCTGTTTGTACGTGGTGTATGTACATTGTATACCAATACCAAGATGGAATATATTTTGTGTTTTTAGTAAAATTGAGAAGGTAATGTTGATGCGTACTATTCCGAATCAATGTTCAGTAGTAAAATAGCTGAACAAACACAAATATCATGTCCACTCATTTTATTTTGAAAGTATTGGAGAGTCTTGTCCTTTGGACAAACTTATGCTACAATGTAACTGACCTTCATAGACAAACAAAACTCCCTAACTTAATGTCTGTTGTTTACAAATCTAACTTAACTTTGGAGCCTCGCTAAAATTCATATTCTATAGTTCATTTCTTATAATACCTATCCAAAATCTAAACATGACTGTGTATATATTGGTCAGCAGATGGTACCTAACAGATTTACTAAGTGGGAATTCAACTTTAAAACTGTGAGATACAGTAACCATCGTGAAAGTCAAGCATGCTGTTAAATATCAAACATTTCTAGTGACAATATTTGCAGTGAATTTAATTACCATCAAAATCAAATTTATATGACAAACTCAAAACATTAAATTGGTCAGGTCTATTATACAAGATTATATGCTTATGAGCATTTCAAACTCGGCACAATTTTATCCACAGTGATGAAGTACTTCTTTAAATCAATGTGTACTCTAGAACCTCACAGCCCACCTTTGATCTCTGATAACACAGTAGCATTGTTCATCGCATGTACCATATTGTAGGAAGCATGGCGTTACATTCACTGCATTATTTTAGGTACACCGAATGACAGTAGAGATGAAGGTGCTTCTGATGGGAGTATCAGTATGGAAAATGGTATTGTGAATAGGAAAGCTGGTCAAGCACTAAGTCTACCATTGGAGAAGCAGGATTTGTCACCTGAGTCTCCAAGCAATAGAGGAATGACTAATGATTCATTGCAGGTATGTAAAAAGTAGTCTGCAACGTATCATCAACCTTGCTGTACGCATCAAATGTGGCTTAAAAAGACATAAACCTGTTTCCATTGCAAGATCAGTCCTTGGTTGGCCAACCATTCAAGACAGACAAACTAAACACTTTAATAAACTCGTTTACAAATGCAAGCAATACTTATCTGACCTTCTCAATTCAAACTCTGCCGTCCATTCCTACAACACCAGAAATGGATTTCATTTCAAAATCTCACACTCGCTCTTTTAAATATCGCGTAGCTACAACGGCTAATAATATTGTATAATTTTATCTTACTACTTTGTTGTCAATTAATATTTTACTCCATTTATGCATTTTATTGTTTTGTTCAGACTGCTATGTTATTGTCATTTTTTTTATTGTAATTTTATCATATTATTTCGTAGTCATTTTATTTTATACCCTATTTATGCTTTTCTTTATTGTGTTCTCGTCATTTTTGCAGTGGTTTGTTTAATTCTATGTTAATTTTATATCTATATGCTGTGTATGAAAAACCATTTATGGATGTACTGTTCTAAATGAATAAATTACAAATTACTTTACACTTAGTCTGTGTAACTGAATGTTACTACAGCAATACAATATGTGTACTACTGTAACAATGAGTCATTTCCTCCACAGCCTTACTCTACAATTAATTTATTGAATTGTAAATTGATACTGTATACATGTATGAATAATCAGTTCTTGGAAGCAATGCATATTCCTGTCAATTATAAAAATATAATATAAAAATATGGAGCTTTGATGCTGCAGAGACTGTTACATGTACCTGTGAAAACGTGATATACTGTATCAGTATTATGGTAATTCATCAGTGTGTACTTCTGATTGTTAATATGTGAAATCTACCTTCACCAACATTGGGTCGAGGCTGACGAACATCATCATCATTATGAACCAGTGATTTCAATGTTATTGGAAGCAGTCACACCTTGAGTTTGTGCATTTATTTTGATGAATCAGCTGGCACATATTACCGAGTACAGACAACAGATATACCTGTAGAATACTTTATTTTCGCTTGGAATTTATTTTCGCTATTTTCGCTGAAGGGATGATTCCGTGAAAATAAAATCCAGCGAATATACTTTTTTCCCTATATTTCACATTAAACTCATAAAAAATCAGTGAAAATAAATTCCAAGCAAAACGCCCAAAAAGCCTTTTCAGCGAAAATTAATTCCAGCGAAAATAAAGTATTCCACAGTACTACTTTTACAACAAACTTCTTAGCAGTTCAGATGATATTTTATTTCACTTCACTAGTTCTGTGTTGGCCGAGTGATATAACATTGCTCTGACAGTGGATTGTGAGCTGACTATTTGTTGCACAAATGTAAATTGTAGTAGCCTAATGATTGATTTTTTCACGTCTTTTTAGGATAGTAGTTCCTTTTTACAAACGCCGTCATATGCTGCTGATGAATCCTCTCTGAACACAACAGAGTCGGAATGCATTATACAACCTCAAGAAATCTCCATGGGAACCCCTCCTGTTAAGCTTTCCCCAGAGAAGTCTACAAAAACACAGACCAAAGCGCTGCCGTCACCTTCAGTGAATGATAGGGGAATATTTGGTCAGAAAGATAAAGATAAGACTTCTGACAACTTGCCAACTGATGAGAGTGACTTCACAGAAGGAGAAGGTATGAATATGTTCTGTATGAATGAATAATGTGTTACCATGGTAATGGGTTATGTGAAGTCACCAATTTGTCTGAGTCAGTGCGAAACTACTTAAAGATTATTTTTTTTCATTTTTAATACTAAACAAATTCACAATACACACAGACAATACAATAAAAGCAAGACCAGATCGAAAGAGACTAGATGAACTTTTAAACTACTAAAGATTGTGCCTGATTGGCTGCCTAAATCTAACATCTTACAGCCAGACCAATCAGAGAGCAGCTTGTTTGTTGACAGGTTTTGTTAACGTATTAATTTCTGTTTTATCAGAGTTACGTCACATGCTCTACAATTGTACACTGATCGATACTAATGGCTAATGGGATTTTGTCAAGAGCTACAAGACTTGTCCCATAAATAGTGTTCATTTCTCTCCTGTCGTCACTTACACTATTCCACATACAATGCTTGGCGGATGTAATGACGGGAGAGAATGGTGCACTATTTGTGGGAAACAAAAGTCTAGTTTTCACTTTCAAGGAGATCTCTTGGCAATTTTAATTTTTTTGAATGAAGTTGACAGTAGTAAAGTTGTATTGATAAATGTTGCATTATTCATGTTTTGAAACACTTTTTGAATCAAGTTCCAGTGTGCATCGATTCACAATAAAGATAAGTGTGAGGTGCTTTTATTTCAAGCATACAAACACGATATGCAAATTGTGAATTACCATTGGCTGAATCTGAAATGTTTCCCACAGTGCACCACATCTCATATCGTCAAACAGTTTTATATAATTGGCTCAAAATTTGGAACTTAAAATATTTGGTGGTTAATTTTTATCACAATGTGAGTTCTAAAGTGATGTATATTCCTGGTTATTCTCAGGAGCGGACATCCGGGCATTTTCACCGCCTGGCAACCATCATGGTGAAAACAAAGGTCGAAAACTCTTTGAAAACTGTACTTTGAAAAGGTTGTTCAGACTCCCTTGAACAGTGTAAAAAAATTACCCCTATATGTGCAACATATATAAATTTGGTTGTTCAGAATTACTTGAAAGTTGAGTTTCTGCTGTTTTCTCAACTTTAGCTGTTTTCACCGGCTCTTTCCCATAGAAGTACATGGTACAGTAGTCCGCCCACGAGAATACCTTAAAGGGAACATTACCAGGAATAACTGACATTTGTATGTAATGTTTTGCTGTCAATGTATCTAGCACAATAAATCTATTTGTTACACTCTTGCTTGCATCATCTGTAATGACTTGATGTTCAAATTCACTTGTCTGATGACTTCTCATTGGCTGCCCAACTGTGATACCAAACTATCTGGCCAATTAAATCAGCGAACTTTTTACTTATATATGGACTGTGCCAACTTGTAAAATTAAGGCTTTCATCTTGAGTAACAATAATTATGGAGAAAACTATAAAGTACTGAATATAATATATTTTCTTTTGACATGAATTATACAATATACTTCAGTTTATCTACAAAGGCATGACATTCGCTCTCATGTGGCACAGTTACGTTTTGAATTTTACTTTATAATTTATATAAACGATGACATTCACTTTATTCGCTATTGCGCCATGATTTTTCCAGCAATATGTTCATTAATTGCGTATTCTGCTGTAAATACTTATAAGGTTGGGGAGCCTTTGATTCATGGAGGATTTCTATCTCACTCAGTCGGTGTGTGATACAAATCCATTACCACTACAAGATTCCTCTTATAGTTGTTTCTTGTTAAAACCACTCCATCCTGTCTCCTAAATGTAAACAGAAAATGCAATGAAAAAAAATAGTGTTTTCACATGTTAAAAAACACACCTGCAATACTGTGTACCGTAAGACTATATCACGCCTCTATTTCATTTACCGTAATTTCTTCTATTTCCACCTACACAACCATCAATGCCATGCATCACTGCTCGTCTGTCTGCCTGTTTTGTTCATCTGTCAATACAATGCTCAGTATCTGAACTTGAAGAGTCATCATCTGATTTAATATCTGCCAGCGACCTCTCTGATCATGACCAAGACAAAGGTAATGCATGCTGCCATCAACGTGTCTCTCTTACTTTCCTCTTGTTTTTTTCACTTTAACGAACTAGTTGTGATTGTTATTTTGTTAATGATTAGAATGTAAGCTTAGAATGAAAGCTTTGTAGATCTCACTGCTGTCATGCATCCACATATTCCAACACACATCCTGCTGCTGTGAAATAAGCAACTTGCCTTTTGTCAGGTCGATGCATCTTGGTTGGTCTATGATGCATAATGATAGAATAGATTGTTATGCTACCTTGCGTGTGTCTTGTCTTAGCTGCTTGATTGTTGTGTCTGTACTGTTGCTGTAAAATGATCTGTTTCCAATCAATCTTTCCTGTATATAAATTGCATACTCTAATGACTAAGATTATT